AAATTTCCCCCCCCCCCCCCGGATGTACTTAGCAACCTTCCCGAGAGTGTAATCGATGACATTCTAATGAAGTTGCCTTTACGAGATGCTGTGAGGACAAGCATCTTATCAAAGATATGGAGATATAAGTGGTGTAGACTTCCACAGATGACGCTTGATCATACACTCTGGAAACCTAATAGGAATGTAACATACATTGCAAGTAATTTTCCAAAGATTGTCTCCCACATTTTAAAACTTCATGCAGGACCAATTACAAAGTTAACCTTTTGGTTTCCTTATTTTGTCAAATGTCCTAATATTGACAATTTGATATGTTTCCTCTCCAAGAATGGCATTCAGCATCTTGTTCTTAAAATTCCTATTGGTATAGCCCTTATGAATTGCCTTCTTCATTTTTCACATGTTCGCAGTTGAGGCATTTGTCTCTCGAAAATTGCCTAGTACGTCCTCCACCAGTCTTTAAGGGATTTGAAAGGTTAATTAGCCTAGAACTATGTCGAGTCACTATTTCTTCTGAATTTCTTGGAAGTTTAATCTCCGATTCCCCGCTGCTTGAGCATTTGGTGCTCGAACCGTCATGTGATTTATCTCACATTGAAGTCGATGCTCCCAAGCTGAGGTCATTTTTCTTCATAGGCGGTATACATATAATTCGTCTGCAAAATATCCCTCTTCTCGCAAAAGTTTCGATTCTGTTTAGACAATTTTCTGTGAAGGCAAGAAAACCTGATCTTGCCAAGTTTTTTTAGCCTATTCATGCTCTTGAGCATCTCCACTGGGATTGCTATAAGTTTTGGGTAAGTGTTGCTTCGTGACTTCATTGTAATGCATTTTCATAATTGTATGTACCTTCTTTTGGGCTTTGAGTCATCCTGATTTCTTGCATTATCTTCCTAGCATTTGTTTGCCGAAGCAGTTGAAGTACCAAGAAGGCTTTCCTCTGCTCTGAACTGTCTCGGTGTGCCTAGATGAATTACATGATCTTCAAGGTGCTCTTTGCTTGATAAGGAGCTCTCCATATTTAGAAGATATTGAAATGAAGGTTCTTAATGATGTTTTTCTCACTCTTTTATCTGTGTTATTCGTACATAATGACTTATATTATTTGATAGTCAGTATATTTTCAATTTTTCTTTATCCTTCTTAGGTGTATCAATGTTTTAAAATGCTTGATCCAGCGACTAGGGATTATGTTACTGAAATTCCTGCAAGCTTCTCAGATGTGACATTGAATCACCTCAGGGCAGTTAAGCTTATAGGTGTAGCAGGAACATGGCCTGAAATGCAGCTTATCAAGCTTCTATTGGCCAAGTCTCCAGTGCTGGTCACAATGGTAATCGAGACCCCTATGGACTGAAAGATAAAAAATCTCTTAAAGTAGTCGCAGAGATAACAAAATTTCCGCAGGTGTCATCTAAAGCAGAAGTTGTATATAATGTAGATTAGTGTCCGTAGTTGCGCTTGATCTTCACCAGCCTTTAATCAGTTCATGAATCTTTGGCTAAAATGTTTTTGGAAGTTAAAAGTGTGAAAATAGAAACAAATGTTGATGCAGTACTATAAAGTTGTGTTTTGCCTTTGCCATAAGATAGTGAGTAGACTATATTAGTTTGGGAACAAGTGTATCTGGATGGATGTTCTGAGTAGTAGTTCATGCCTGATTGTTCTATGAGTATGAAATAAGACGTTAGTTGTTTATTTGAAACTTGTTTTGTGTTTTAATTCTCTAATTGATCATTTCCCTTTGGCAAGCTTGAAACATTTACTCCACAACTTACATGCCTATAAGGTATAGTTATACATGGAGAGTTGGTACTAGCATAAACTTAGTAGTTGTAAAAGTAATTGGTTTGATTGGGCAAGTTCAGTTGTAGGCAGAAGGTCTCAGTATGTAGAAATATTGCACGTGAGATCCCGCGATCAGAGGCTGAGTCAAGATTTGATATTTATGGATTCTGAATTTGATATCTAATAAATTTGTAATTAAATTTTTATATATATTTAACGAATTTTATAAAGCAAAAACTTTCCCAGCTTTGTCTTACCATAATTTCTCTCTTTCGTGTTTGGTGGGTATAAAACACTCTTAATTGGTACAATTTCAAACCACAAAAACTAGAAATTAGATAGTAAATGAAATCGTTCATAAAAAAATTGTAGTAATACTACTAAAGTAGAAGAGCATTTAATGGTTGATACTTGACAATCATAAAATTTAGCATTTTGGTCAGAACACAATATTCTTTGCCTCATACTTTGAGATGCTCCTAAGTCCTACCCGCTGATCAAGGAGCGAGGCTGCTCGCTTCGCTCAGGCGGTCTTCCCTTATTTTCCGTAACGTTCAGAGTAGTTAGAAAGGAGGAAAAAGAACCAACGTATTACAAAGCTATACAAGGGGACTAATTGTTGTTTTACAAAACTAAATAGCAGGCAATTGCGATTTGTTCATATTAAACTTAAAACTAGTAGTCGTACCCACGCGATGCGGGGTCAATATTAAAAAAATATTAATTAAATTCCTATCTACCACTTTCTTTTTGTAATATAATAGAAGATATATATTTTATTAATCTTGAAATATTTTTTATTTTAAATTTTATCATATTGTTCTTAATAATATTATCTGAATTTTAATGAATAAAATCTCTATTAAATTAAAGAGAGTTGTATAATAATTGAATAACGTTTTTGTTATATATTTTTCTTTGTTATATTATCCAATATACAGTATTATTGCATTGTTAATAGAAACTTTTATTAGCATATTACTTAATTTAAATTTTTGTATACTACTTTCTTTTTATAATATAATAGAAGATACATATTTTTTTATTTTATATTTTATTCTATTATTTTCAATAATATTTCCTGAATAAATAAACTTTTTATTTTTAAAAATAAAAACAAAAATTATTTAAAAAACAAAGAAATTTTAAATTGGCATTTTTTTATTTTTGTAATTTTTTTATTTTAATTTAATTTTTTTTTTTATAATTTTAGTTTTTTATTTAAAAATAATTTAAAAACTCCAACTTGAAACTACTTTCCAATTTGAATGGACAATTTTTTTAAAATTTTCGTTTTTTATTATAAAATATTTTATTTTATTATTTTATTGATATTTAAATTCAAAAATAATAACCAATAACTAATTATTAACTACTAATACCATGCAGTTTTTCTCTAGGCTGCCACTTGGCTTAAGGAGAGAGCTTTTCCCTCTCCTTTTAATAATATATAGATATAGATTTGAAAACTCCAACTTGAAATCTCATATCTATAGTTCCCCAAAGATATCTAAATATATGCGTAACAACATTCCAATATCTTCTTGTTGGGGAGGAGCTGAATCTTGCTAATAAGCTTACTCCAAAAGCAATATTTGGTCGGGTATTGTTGGCAAGATACATCAGTGCCCCAATTGCACTAAGATATGGAGTTTCATCACCAACGAGCTCTTCATCATTTTCTTGAGTCCGAAATTGATCTTTATTTATGTCAAGCGGTCTCACAACCATCTGAGTACTTAATGGATGTGCATTATCCATATAAAATCGCTTTAAAACCTTTTCAGTGTATGTTGATTGATGGACAAAAATTATATTTGTTACATACTCAATTTATAGGCCAAGACAAAATTTTGTCTTACCAAGATCTTTCATTTCAAATTCTTTCCTCAAACACTCTACAACCTTTGGAAGCTCTTTAGAAGTGTCAATGATATTCAAGTCATCAACATACACATCTATGGATTATGATGACAAATTCATATCCATGCCTCTTAATAAAGACACAAGGGCAAATAGGGTCATTTTTGTACCCTTCCTTTAGCAAATACTCGCTAAGGCGATTATACCACATCCTCCTTGATTTCTTCAATCTGTATAAGGATTTCTGAAGCTTTATTGAACAAGTTTCCCTTGAACTTTTATGTGCTTCAGGAACTTTAAATCCTTCAGGGATTTTCATAAAAAATTTATTTTTCAATGAGCCATATAAGTAAATTGTGACAACATCCATTAACCGCATATCAAGTTTTTCATGGACTGCCAGATTTATTAGATACCTGAAGGTAATTGCATCTACCATAGGAGAATATGTCTCCATATAATCAACATCGAGCCTTTGCGAAAACCCTTGTGCCACAAGTCGTACTTTATATCTTACGACTTTACCTTTCTCATTTCGTTTTCGCACAAAAATCCATATGTACCCCACTGGCTTGACACCTTCAGGAGTTCGGACTACTGGTCTGAAAACTTCACGTTTTTTGAGTGAAAACAATTCCACTTGAATTGCATTTTTCTATTTTTGGCCAATCATTTCTCCGTCTATATTCATCGACAGGTTTTGGCTCAAGATCCTCATTTTGTTGCATTACTTCAACTGCAACATTATATGCAAAATTGTTGTCAACAACAATATTATTTCGGTTCCACCTTTTTCCCGTAGAAACATAACTTATTGAGATCTCTTCATTTTCATCATTTCCAGGTACTTGAATCTCACGTGATGTCTTTTCAATTGTTATGTCTTTATGCTCTTCTTGAGCAATTGCCTCCGAGTTATGATCAACTTGATCATTTGCTCCTTTCCTTTTTCGTGGATTCTTATCCTTGGAACTGGTTGGTCTACCACGTTTAAGGCTTGGTCTGGGCTCATTTTCATTATCATATTGTCCAACTGGGACATCAACCCGAATTGGAGTATTTACAGCCGGAATATACAATTTAGTAACCCGTGAAAGGTTAGTAAATGCATCTGGCAATTAATTTATAATATTTTGCATATAAATAATCTTTTGAACTTCTTGTTCACATTGATTTGTACGGGGATCCAAATGAGATAGAGATAATACATTCCAATCTATTTATTTTTCAGTTGTTTATTTTCTCCCCCTAATGTTGGGAAAGCTGATTCATCAAAATGACAATCAGCAAATCTGGCTGTAAACAAATCTCATGTCATAGGCTCCAGATATTTAATAATAGAAGAAGATTCATAACCAACATATACTTCCAATCTTCTTTAGGGACCCATCTTTGTGCATTATGGTGGAGCAATTAAAACATATACCGTACATCCAAAAAATCTTAGATGGAAAATATTTGGCTCTTGACCAAAAGCCAATTGTAATGGAGAGACTTCATGGTAACTGGTTGGCCTTATGCGCACAAAGGCCAGAGACTTCATAGAAAGGGGATGTTTTGTCCTTATTAACAATGGTCTAGCTATTAATTGGAGGTATTTAATCAACGATTCTGCTAGACCATTTTGAGTATGAACATGAGAAACTGGATGCTCAACTTTTATTCCAGTGGCCATAAAATAATCAGTAAAGGCCAAAGATGTAAATTCACCAGCATTATCAAGACGAATTGTCTTAATTGCATAATCTGGAAATTGTGCTCTTAACCTTATTATTTGGGCCAACAATCTCGCAAATGCCATATTGTGAGTTGACAATAAGCACACATGTGACCATCTTGTAGATGCGCATATCAAGACCATAAAAATACTTGAATGATTCATATGGAGGGTGTATAGGCCCACATATATCACCCTGTATACGTTCCAGAAATGCAGGGGATTCAATCCCAACTTTAGTTGTTGATGGTTTAATAACCAATATTTCATGAAAACAAGCAGCACAAGAGAACTCCTTAAATTGAAGAATCTTTTTGTTCTTCAATGTGTGCCCATTTGAATTCTCTATTATTCTGCGCATCATGTTAGAACCGGGATAGCCCAACCGGTCATGCCAAATGATAAAATTATTGAAAGTAGTAAATATTTTGTTTACTATGGCATGTGATTCAACCCCACCAATGTTTGTGTGGTATAACCCAGAAGAAAATGCAGGTAATTTTTCATGCACGCATTTTTTCCCGCTTTTATTATAGTGATATAAAGGTGTTCAATCTTTCCTTCGTTAGAGGTTTCAACATGGTAGCCATTTTGGCGAATAGCTTTGAAACTCAACAAGTTTCTTTGAGACTTACTACAATACAATGCATTATTAATAGTCAATATCATTCCTCCAAGTAGTAATAAGGACGCTCATACAGAGCCCTCAATTAATTTTGTACTAACAGATATTGTATTAACATATGCCTTTTTTATAACCAAATAAGAGAAAATTTTCTTTTTTCTTAATATTATGTGAGTTGTAGCACTATCCAAAAGGCATAAATCTTTATTACTCATCTTGGATCCAATTGAAGACTGAGAATTTTATTTTCATCATAAAAAATAAAAGTACACCATTAGAAATACGAAAAAACTAACACTACCAACAACAACATAAGACAACTTAAGTACTACTTGAAAATAAAAATTAACTTTAGAACAAGAAAAAGAAATACTGAAAATAATGACATAATTGCATTCCCCAATAAAATGATCAAACTTTAGTTTTGATCCTCAAAGAAGTCTTCCACTTCCAAATGAGTAAAATCATCGAGGCCTTCAAAATCATCATCATTATTCAAAGCAAGATCTGCATCGGCATTATCATCATTTTTGTTTGAAGGCCCTGCCTCAAAATCATTTTTGAAGGTCAAGTGAGACTCCACTGGGGCATTAGCAGAAGATGTTCCATCATTATTTGCCTTTCTTTTGATGGAGTTTTGATAAAGCATGACAAAATACTCAGGTGCACGAC